TTCTATGTCGCTGTTAGACTTATTCGTGTTCCTCATTGGTGAGCCAGGTGTAAATTTGTGGTTCTTTGGATGAACAAAGAGTGTTGATGATTCTGTATAGACACACATACTATTAGAATAAAGATGTAACTTCTTCGTTAATTTCTTCCAAAAAAAAATACACGTAGACAATAGACGTTTGTATTTATTTAAATTAAATTCCTCTTGGTGCAAACTATTGATTCGAATGAAGAAACAAATCAAACACAATATTTATAATAGCACAATGTGAAAGTAAGAGAAATTGATCATTTCCGTGAAAGTACTAATAAAAACTGAAAATATCCTTACCAATTGATTGGCTGATGCCGAAGAGTTCACAGACTTCCTTTTGACGACTCGCGGCGACGTACAAAGCGGTACCGGTGGTGCAACCTTAGCAGGTTTCACGTCGACATAGTCCATCGACATCACGGGCTTCGGCTATAAAGGAAAGCAACAACCCTATCAGTCAGATGTCCCATAGAGAACGAACGGCAAATAAATTACGAATTATAAATCTTGGAGGATGAAAAATTAAGAGATCTAATTTTCTTGCAATGAACAGAATCGTTAAACGAGAAAATGTTAAGAGTTGACGATTTTTTCAAGTAGTGAAAGATTTAAGTTTTAATTCACAGATCCAAGTTCAATTTTTGACCAGAGAAACGGCGTTGTCCACTACCTGGAATGTTTTCACCGTTTATATCGAACTCGGACTGTTCGTTTCATCGCGAAAATTTAGAATCAGGATTTGTACCTAGCGACGTTGTCTTCGCCTTCGATCTGAAACCATACAAACCATCGTACATTCAGCGGAAGACTGATTTTATTTGAAATCGAATGTTCAGACTCTAATTGAAAATTCAGATTAGAAAAATATATAGAATTTAATGAAACGACATGGGACAATTCATTCCGCTCGAAATGAGGCTTGCAATCAGCCGGCGGCAATTTCGTATACAACACAGAAACAGAGGGAACAGAGAAAGAGAGAGTCGAGGGGGAAGTTCGTAACGAACTCACCAGATCGCTGCCAACAGTTGCTGCACGTGGGAATGAGCGACGAAAGTTTTCTGCTTATATTGTATGGCCAATTCTAATCTAGCCAGCTGCTTCGTGGCCAAGTTCCCCTGGTCCTCCGGGTCGTAATTGAGGATCGTCTGCAATTCCGTGATGGTCTACACTTGTTGCAGCAGATCAACAGCGAATCTACGGTAATTGAAACGGAATCAAGTGCTTTCAACAATATTTCCAGGGTTGTCGTGGTTGACATCGACATGAAATTTTTGGCGACTTGAAATTTACTCAAAGATTCACTTATTTTTAATGAGAGGTTTATTCTTAATGTTATTAATTTTTCTTAATATTACTTTCCAAATAGCAGATGCAGAATCTCAAAGAAATTTTTTCAATCTGTGAAATTTATCACAATTCTAAGAATCACTTATTTTTAATGAGAGGTTTATTCTTAATGCTATTAATCCATCTTAATATTATTTTCCAAATAGTAGATGCAGAATCTTAAAGAAAAGTTTTCAATTTGTGAAATTTATCACAGTTCAATGCAAGAAATTTATTCTCTCTTTCTTAATATCTAAGATCCACTCTTATTTTTAATGTTATCAACTCCAAGATTCACTTATTTTTAATAAGAGGTTTATTCTTAATGCTATTAATCCATCTTAATATTATTTTCCAAATGGTAGATGCAGAATCTCAAAGAAAATTTTTCAATTTGTAAAATTTATCACAGTTCAATGCAAGAGATTTATTCTCTCTTTTTCTTAATATCTAAGATCCACTCTTATTCTTAATGTTATGAACTCCAAGATTCACTTATTTTTAATAAGATATTTATTCTTAATGTTATTAATCCTTCTTGATATTATTTTCCAAATAGTAGATGCAGAATCTCAAAGAGAATTTTTCAACTTGTGAAATTTATCAGCATTCTAAGATTCACTTACCTTTAATAAGAGATTTATTCTTAATGTTATTAATTCTTCTTAATATTATTTTCCAAATAGTAGATGCAGAATCTCAAAGAAATTTTTTCAATTTGTGAAATTTATCATAATTCTAAGATTCACTTATTTTTAATAAGAAGTTTATTCTTAATGCTATTAATCCTTCTTAATATTATTTTCCAAATAGTAGATGCAGAATCTCAAAGAAAATTTGTGAAATTTATCACAATTCAGTGCAAGAAATTTATTCTCTCTTTTTCTTAATATCTAAGATCCACTATTATTTTTAATATTATCAACTCCAAGATTCACTTATTTTTAAGAGGTTTATTCTTAATGCTATTAATCCTTCTTAATATTATTTTCCAAATAGCAGATGCAGAATCTCAAAATTTTTTCAATTTGTGAAATTTATCACAATTCTAAGATTCACTTATCTTTAATAAGAGGTTTATTCTTAATGTTATTAATCCTTCTTAATATTATTTTCCAAATAGTAGATGCAGAATCTCCAAGAATGAACTAACAGAAAGTGTTACAGGTTCTGTTCTAAAGAATCGAAAGATGGAAATGCTTCACTTCGGCCACCGAATTGGTGGTGAGCCAGTTCCTCGTGCTCGAGCAGCAACTCCACAACTTCGACAAACTCTTAGTCGATCGCTCGAAGCAGAACATCTTTCGTCTTTACGACCCTCGCTATCAACAGCTCAACCATCAGTGTTTACTCGCCTGGTCGCTTAAGGCGGCGTACACACGCTGGCTAATTTGCTTATCGATATCTCGTTAGCCAAGTGACAGTCTGTCAGAAAGTGCTGTTGAACAGCGACCGCCTTTACGGAGGGGAAACAAGGACACGAGGCTGGTCGACGCCCTTTTTGTCGAACACTCGACACTTCCGCGCCTTTGAACCAATTTCAATCGAGAAGCTGTTGATTGAACAAATTTCAACGACGTAGCTTTGGAATTTAATGGAGAGAGTCTGCAGATTTATGGAAGTGCAATGAATCTTTCAGAGAAGAGCCGGCTTCTCGCGACGCGTGTCGCACGTTTTTAATTGTATAAAACGTGAAATATCGTCAGGATGATCATTTAAGATCGAAAGGACTCCTTGGACGAGTGTCAGAGTTTTACGTCGAGTTATAACTCTGCAACACGATCGTTCTTGACGATCAGGATCATCTTTTTACACGAATTGTTCGCCAGAATGGCCCCTAAAAGTTACGATACCCTTAACTCGTGAATCTTTCAAATCGATTTGTCCATTCCTTAAAGGAACGAAACCTTGGGCGACGATAAAAGATAAATTAGATTTCGTTCGAGAGTGTAGCATGAATCTCTGCTAATTGCTATGCTCGCTAAATCGATACTTATCGCCCTCCTCTCACGGAAGAAGTTTCTGGACTGGCTGAAAGCAGCGACGAAATGCTGAAACGGTATTAAGGGCGACTGTCCGCGCAACCTGGCAATTGCAGCTGCGGAATTCATTAAACTGGACGATTAAAATGGTCCCTCCTACGTGGCTTATCAGCTCGCCAGACGCGAGACGAACGAGCGATGGAAAAGAGGCAGCTAGCTGTTTACACTGCGGCTTCGTCCACTCGTTTCCCCTCGTTCCCGTTGATGTTTGCTCGATGGCTGCATCCACGAGAGCGTTCGACGATCCTACACCATCCATTAGTTCTCGTTTACGTGCTTTTTTCACTGTGATGCAGTTTCTGGACGTTGACAACAGGTACTTTGGAAGTACTTATTTTTGGCTGATGAAGCGGTCTCTTTTATTTTTTATTAATATTAATTTAATATTAATTTTCATATCCGGAAATATTCGATATTAATATAATTATTAATAATTAATATCTAATTGATATATATATATATATATATATATATATATTAATATAGTTACTATCATATAATATTTAATAATATAATATAATATAATATTTAATATATATTAAATTATATGATAGTAACAATATTAATATATATTAAATATTATATGATAGTAACTTTATATATATATATATATATATTAATATTGTTACTATCATATAATATTTAATATATATTAATATAGTTACTATCATATAATATTTAATATATATTAATATTGTTACTATTATATAATATTTAATATATATTAATATAGTTAATATCATATAATTTTGAAAAAAATAAATCATACAACAATAAACCCGGATTCATTTCACAGTTTGCAGCCTGTACTTTCGAAGAGCATCATTTTATTAATGGAATTTACTTGGCAAACATACGGCGCCCCCGTGTAAAATACCATCGGCCAGTTGAAAATTATATTTAACGAAAATATATATAATATATGTTGTGCAAAGCGTGTACAAAAATTCGAAGAACTCGCGGGTAAAAATTCGCGAATCACTTGCTAAAACGAAAGAGAGGAAAGACAGACGAAGCGACGCAGAGCCACCTTTCGAATGTACCAAAGAAACTCTTCGATCTTCTTTCACGAACGACCGACGTCGATGAACCTTCGACGAACCGGTATACCGATTTAAAAAGCAATCGACGTGCAAACGGTGAGAAATCTATCGCGAGGCTGATCGAGTGAAAGCGTCATTTTTTTTCCCACCGTTTCCAATCGGAAGCGAGAACTTTCTTCAGAGAAAAAAAAAAAAAAAAAAACGCGGCCATCGCGGACGCAGAGCGGGAAGAAAAACGATTTGAGAGAGGAACTACGCCTCCAATAAATCTGTCGGACGGATCCGAGCGATCTTCAGTGTTTGCTTTCGTTTCTGACATTGAACAACAACGAGGGCTGATATCCCTTTCGTTGTATTATAATATCTTTGAAAATTTGTGATTTTGTTTTTTTTTTTTTTTTTTTACTTATTACACACACGTTACAGATTTATTTACATTTATTTACATTTATACACACGTAACACAACACGTTAGATACTGTCGACACGATGTCGTTGAGACGCGATACGATACGTGTCCTTGTAGTTTTGGCAATTTGTTCGATCTGTATCGATGGGAATTCGTTTGAAGGCGACGAGAGCGTCGAGACTGTTCGCCCGAACTTCCGGTACAGGGGGGACCTTGAGACCGCTGCCAGCGAACACGAAGGCAAGCAATAAGAAAAAAAAAAAATTTTTTTTAGAATTCTTTTACATATCCCGAATATTTGCAAGATTAAGTTTACAGTTACTTTAGTTCAAACGTTCGAAAGATCAAAGGGAATTGTCCTTTTTCGTGTTGCTCGGTTCTTGATGCGAGGAACGATAGAGTTAATTAATATCGAAATGGAGAACGCCCTCGCTCGGTAAATAAGTCCATAATAGCCCCAATTAACGCCAACCTCTCGCCGAGTCGGAGGATTCCACCGGAGAAACTTTCGGCACCGGAGAGAGAGAGAAGAGCCTTTACCCTGGCAATTAATTGAAACAGGTGGCGGAAAGCACGAGGTGAGGGGCGGCGGCACCGAGTACCAGGAAGATCACCGCAACATCGACGGAAAGAAAAGCGACAAGGTATAAACGACACCATTGCATTCATTGTGGAAATTGTCTGAATAGTTCTCGATTAAAATGCGAAAGTACGAAAGAAATACATAGGAGAAGCGAATGAATAAAATAAAGTAAAGTATAAACGGTACGGTGTCTCTTTTATTTTAATTTTCAGTTGCTTTCTTTTATATTAGCTCATAAAAAGAGGTATAAAGAAGAGAAAAGAATAGTATAGTGCAGAGAGGGTATTGATTTTTGTGTTGTCGAAGATCGGGGCACTTTTAAAATTGTTTATCTTTTGCTGGCGTGTATCAATGCAAATATATCAATAAACATACATATTGTATATTATAAAATAATATATTATATATAATATTATATTAAATAATCTATATACATATACATACATATATATATATATATATATATATATATATATATATCAGTATATATCATATATTATGAAAATCTGCACATATATCAATAAACATATATATTGTATATTATAAAATAATATATTATATATAAAATATTATATTAAATAATCTATCTATCTATCTATCTATCTATATATATATATGAAGACACGCAAATTTTTATTTAAACATTTTACGAAAAATCAGTTAAAAGTACACACATTTTACATGTATAAAATATTCAATAAAAGCCATAATAAATTCATTTATCACTTTGGTAGTCCGGTAGATTTGGTAGATTTGATAGTTGGTAATTTAGTAGAATTGGTAATGTGAAAGAAACTACTTACTAGAATATTATTCAATATAATATAATATAATATAATATTATTCAATACAATATAATATAATATTATTCAATATAATATAATATAATATTATATTAAATAATCTACATATATGTATAATAAAATAATATATATAACTTAATATTATACTATACACAACACATATTAATTACAAAATAAAAATTTCATCGATTCACGGAAATATTCAGAATTCGTTGAATCAGTGTTAATTGAACGAGACACCGTAGCCATTTAACACAACTCCAATGCTAGGTATATTCTAAGGTAATATCCCTTTGGCAACTCATCGTCTCGGAATACAATATCGCAGCTGTAACTAATTTTGCTGGAGGCATGCAGAAATCTCCTTGCTGTAGCTCGTCATTTCTCGACCAAGACTCGGCTCCCTTTTTATCGCCGGTGATATTAGTGTCCAGCCAGTATTCTCAAGGGATTATTTATTATACGGTCGTTGTTGCGCGTATACGACATCTTCCCAGCGACGGTGCGCCGTTTTCTTTCTTCACCGAGGAGGTGACGTATCCTTCGTAACGACTAGACGGTATTTTCGCCCTTTTGTACGCGTCCCTCGATATTAGTTCTCGCGTTCGTTTCCGAAATTACGATCATCACCGAGCCGTCTGGTCTCGAGCGAGTATCGTCCGATTTTCAGAAGCAACGAACCGCGATTCCAGTTCTCTGCTTTAAGGGAGCCACTTCTTTAACTTTATCGATCACGCGTGCCTGGGAAACAGGGTTACAAGGTCTTCCACGAGTTCGACAAGGGTGAGAAGGGCCACCGCGACAACGAGGGCCACAAGCAGAAGTACGACGAGAGGAAGGGGAAAGAGGAGAAGAAATACAAGGAGGCGGACCACTACGACGAGAGTCGCCAAGGCGAGGCAGGTGAAAAAGTCGCGGAATTCGACGAGGAGGGCAAACACCAGAAAGGATACAGCACCAAGGGAGAGCACAGCGTCTCGAAAAAGGTTCTCCTTCAGTCTCTCTCTCTGAGAGACAGTTCAGTAGCTGAGAATTGAACGTAGCTGAGATATATTCTGATACAGAGATTCATGGCCGTGTAGGACGAGTACGAGAAGAGGCACGACTTTTACGACGAGTACCACGAGGACGGTGAGCACGAGAAACACGGTGGATACCATCACGAGCACGAAGGCAAAAAGGGCGGACACAAGAAGAGGGGACACGGAGATTCCGCTCGTCACGAGGTTCGTGCCAAGTAATTAATTTTCGCAAATCGTGCCCCTTTCAAATTTAATGTCGTTCAATCGATGTGTCAGCATCACCATGGCAAGAAGAAGCAGCACGAGGAGGGTCATCACCATCGCCAGCAGAGGGGTCGCAAATTTGACGAAGGTCGCGACAGCCATCGTCAATACGACAAGAAGTACGGGAAGAAGGGCGGACACGAATCGGGGAAGAAATGGTCCGCGAGCACCGGCCGTTAAATTCTTCCTGAGACAGATTATGTTTCCCAAATGCGAATCTATTGATTTTTTTCAGCTAATTGTGATAATTTTTTTTTTTAGAACACGTATCTATGTGTTCTGACGCATTTGTATTTAGCTGTAATTGAATATATGTTTATATTTATCTATAATTGAATATATGTTTATACGCAGCATTTATATTTAGCTATGATACTCAGCTATAACGATAAGTGTCTATATAGAGCATTTGTATTTAATAATTACATTTATATTTAATAATTACATTTATATTTCATATACATATTATGTGCATTTATATACACATTTATATTTAAATAATTACGTTTACATATATATTACATATATATTATATATATTATACATATATTACATATATATTATATATATTATACATATATTACATATATATTATATTTAAATAATTACGTTTACACACACACACACACACACACACGTTTATACATTTGAATTATATACGTTTACATATATATATATATGTTAATTACATATTGTTATATATGTTAATTAAATTTGTATATATTTATATTTAAATAATTAATAATCTTGCGATTTAAGCCGAAATATGGTAAAATAGTATAGTATAGTAGTAGTATAGTAGTGTATGGTATACTATAAAGTAGTATATATGGTATAGTATAGTCAAAAGTAGCAGCTAAAGTTCAGATTTCGTTACGGATAAGTTTCATCCTGGGGAAATTGGCGAGAGAACCGACGTGCGTGTGTGTGTGCGTGTGTGTGTGTGTGTGTGTGTAACTCGAGTGGAAACGCGCGCAAGAACAGAGAGAAGAACAGAGTGCACGCGCGTAAATAGCGTTACAGGTGTGTGAAATTGTGTATACGTTCGTTAATTGTTCGCGAGGTGACAGCCGCGAATATTTGTAACTCCTGTTGGAAAAGCGAGGAAACGCAGCGCGGCGTTATACTATATTCATAAACGCCTTTGTTCGAGAAATTAAAAAAATTTCCATCATCCATGGAAAATCGTCGCCGCGTAGGCGTTAATCCCTTTTATGAAAATGTGTCAAGAAAAATTATTATTATTATTTCTTTTTTTCTTTATCCGAACGAAAGAGAAAAAGCACGCCCGTTAATTATTTACTTCTTAATCCGTTTTTATTAAATTCTGCTAGATTCTCTGCAAGATAGGTGTTATCATAATGGAAAATGTTCTTCCTTCCTATTTTAAAAAATTAAACTTGGCCCACTTTGGAAAGGTTAAATTGATTTTTATTGAATATCTTTTAAAAATGCGATATATTTCGAGAGAGATAACGATCTCACATTGAAAAATAAGTTTCTGCGCGTATCTGTAAATATTTACCATCATTATTATGTAATGATTATTATAATTCACGTATAATTGCGATTAAATATTTAGCGTACGTTTTCGCAGTGTTGATTGTTGAATTGATTATTCTAATTGGAATGTCTCTATTACGTTTCGAAAATTGTTATTCTGTTGTATCTGGAAATTAGAATTATTGGGGGTTACTTGCCGAGAAAATTTGAAATCCGTGCAATATATTTGGGGACCTGCCTATACAGGGTGATTCACGTAACTTCACACCTGAAATAATTTTTAAATTACGCGCCTAATGAAACATTATTTAATACAAAAGTTCTATTAAATTTAATACAAACGTTGTACTATGGCCTAGTATTAATTTTTTGTGCGTATAGAAATTTTCAAGGTCATCATTATTTTTTTAAATTGGACTACATATTTTTTTCATCCTCCAGACAAATTATCGTAAAACATCCCCTCGACCTAATTAAGTTTAGGCTCAACACTTTTTTACTTGGAATTTAATATTTTTTCGACTCGAGATGAAAAAGAAAATGAAGATGACCTTGAAAATTTTGAGACTTCTCCCACGAAACCGTGCAACTTTCGTATGAAACAACTTTCCATTACACGCACAATTTAAAGGTTATTTCAGGTGTGCAAGTTACGTGAATCACCCTGTATAATTTTAAACAGAGACGTACAAGTGAAACTTTACAAATTGTAAGAGTTTGTTTAAAAGTTCAAAATTGAACGCGATCAAAATTGAAAGTCACAGAGTTGCCAAGATCTCGATCTCGGGTGAGACGAGGCCGATCGATAACGATCGATGGAATAAACGAGGGGAGGGGGGGAAAAAAAAATCCGCCCTTAAATAACGAAACATTCTCGATCAGGCTACCCGATCAAGCGAGAAGTTGTTCTCTCCTGGTCTCTCGCAACAGTTATCCCGGCAGCGTGAAAAGTGAAAATCTTGGCGTGAAATTGGTCACGGTTCGCTAAAGCGCTTTATGGTAACAGTGCTCGTTATTGACTGGAGGGACAGCGACAGGTCGAGCTATTCAACTCAACACACTGCGACAGAGAACGTGTTTATTCGCGAAGGTTAATTTTGTCTCCGCGAAGAATGATTCCCCGAGTTCAGAGTTCCAGAGTTTCAGGGCGCCATCTTGGCTATGAAACCTCTCTCGTTCAATTTTGCTCGAGTTTCTCTCATTTCCGACTGTTTTTCTTCTTTTTTTTTTTTTTTCTTTTTTTTGAAAAGAAGTAGACACGGCAAAGCGAGCACGTACGAAATACGCACACTTTTATAAATCGTCGAAATTAAAATTAAAAGTCCCCGGATCGAGTAATTTTTCCTGAGTATTTTGATAACTCTGTTTGCGCAGCGTGCGTCAGTTCACACGAGTGAAACGCGGCCGATATGTATATATATATATATATAGGTGGAAATATTATTTTATAAAAGGGAAATATGGATCGATCCGCGATAGTCCAGACTTGCCCGGCAATTCTCGTCATCGATTTATTATCGCTCGGGCGTTGTAAAAATGCCACCGCGAAAGCGTTTGTTTATGACTTTCAATTCGTACGCGGTATCGATAAAGCGTGAACACGTTTCTGTTGTAAATTCTATGAAATAAATTGCGGCGGGAATTTGAGAGAAAGTCCACCATATTTGTGGTTTGTCTCGAAGTTGAGGAAAACGTGTTTCAAACGTTGAAAAGGATGAAAAGTCCTTCGTGCAATTTCACGTGTGTCGTTCTACGATGCAATCGAATATGCGATGATTGGGCCGAAGGTTGGATCTCTGGGGCTTTGTTAACGAGTGCCGTTTTACAGCGTAATGGCAATCAGAAACACCAGTATTTTTTCCTGGTTTTCCTTTCTCTCTTTTAATTGTTATTATTACTTCTCGTCGCCCACGTCGATGAGATCGTGATTATTTTTCCGTAACGCGAAATACTTTCGCTCGGACATGGAAAAGGATGAAACGAGAAAGCTTCCGCCTCTAACGCAGCGGTTGCCAAACTTCTGTTGCCAGACAATTTTTCTCTCGAGTGAGCTCCGACGCGTTAGCTAAACTATAATTTTAACAACGGGGAACTTGTATGTTTATAAATTGTAAGCACACGGAAGATGACGTTAGAAAAAAGACGAGAATAACTTATTTTTTAATGTTCGATCTTGCTGATTATTAATTAATTTCATGGAGGAGAAAGCTTCTATCTTCGCATCTACTTCACTTTCAAATTATTATATAATATGTAATATAATATAAATATAAATATAATATTTAATTATATATATTATATTATATTTAAATATATATATATTATATTTAAATATATATATTATATATATATTATATTATATTTAAATATAAATATAAATATAATATTTTTTTGTGCAATCTTTCTGAGGTTTAGGAGATAGGATCTTTCAAAAATTTATCGAATCAACGTCACTCGGAACAGGAGAAAGGATGTCAAATTTTACTTTTAAAACACTAAAGGAAATCAATCGTAGCTAACTTTTGACAATAATCGAGTTAATAATAATAATTTCAATGTTTTCACATCTTACATTACTCCTCTTTTATTACATATTATTTATATGATATTATATTTATTACATTACATTACATTATTTATATTATATTTATTTATTTTATATTATTTTTATTACATTTATTATCAAAACTTATGCTCTATGCGCTGCTAGGAATCATAAAATGCGCCACGGTTGGCCACCGCTGTTCCAGCACGAAAATGAAATACTAAAGTGCGTGCAAGTGCATGAGTTCGGGGGAGGGGTGCATGAGTTCTCCACAGAGGTTGCAGAATATGGATGGAGGTTCTAGAGAGTTTGGCAAATAGAAAATACTTGGAAATACGCGCAAAAGAGGAACACCGTGGACATTCGGATTTTGTCTCATATAAAATGTTTGCGGTTCCTGGCCCCCTCCCCCTCACCCTTTTCTCTTATTAGAAATCCTCTCGACAAGGACGACAGTCGTAGCATAGCGTGATTGAGATCGATATTTATTAATACACAATGTAAGCTATCGACGTGGAAATCGAACGTAATCAGAGCGAGGCATGATTTCAACGACAAAAACGATTATTCTCGATATATACTCGTACTAACGTAATCCGAGTTAATAAATGATTCGTTTCTGATGATTGTACGGACGATTGGAAGTGAAATCAATCGTTGTCGACGGCTGTGCATAATTAATCTCGATGCGTGTCACATTTACGTAAATTGCAGCAACGGAATCGCGTATGCAATTCGTTGATGAAATGTTAACGAGCGAAAGAAACGAAAGATACTTTCGTACAATTGCGAAATAGATCTTCAAATTTTCAGTTTCATCGCGTGTCTCTACGATAACAGGATTTATTACCATCCATTCAAATATTTATTATAGTTTATTATTACGTAATTTATTTATTATAGTTTGTTATTATATAATTTATTATATTTATATTTATTATATTTATTATAGTTTATTATTACATAATTTATTTATTATAGTTTGTTATTATATAATTTATTATATTTATTATAGTTTATTATTACATAATTTATTTATTATAGTTTGTTATTATATAATTTATTATATTTATATTTATTATTATATAATTTATTATATTTATATTTATTATTATATAATTTATTATATTTATATTTATTATTATATAATTTATTATATTTATATTTATTATAGTTTATTATTAAATAATTTATTATAGTTTGTTATTACATAATTTATTATATTTATATTTATTATTTATATTTATATAAGTTAGTTGTTATTATAGTTTATTATTGTATAATTCATTATAGTTTGTTATTACATAATTTATTATATTTATATTTATTATATTTATTATAGTTTATCATATTTATTGTTATAAGTTGTTATTGTAGTTTATTATTATATAATTTGTTGATTATGGTTGATTATTATATAATTTACTTATTGTTTTATTATTTTACAGTAACAAATTTATTATTTATTATATAATATTAATATTTATTAATATTAGGATACCAACCTAAGTCTGATTAATCGAAACAAACAGTTATCAGTTATTATACATATTTTCTAGAAATCTTACATTTTTTACTGTTCAGCCAGACAATGGATCCAACGTTAGAAAAAAAGAGAAACGAAGGCGAAGTTTTGTACAACATTATCGATTGAAAAGTCGTAACAAACAGTTTATTATACAAATCTCATGGATCTAGCAAGATGCATTTTATTTTTTTTTCCTGACAAGAATTGTACACTCCGCTCAGACGATAGATCTGAACGTTAGAAAAGGGGAAACGAAGTTTTTGTGCAACATGATCGACCAAGAATTCGAAACTTCGAGATGCTTGTTACGACGATTCGGCCGAGCGACCGTCTTGTGCAACTTTGTAAACGGAGAAAGGAGGAAGCCGAAACGATCGACAATGGGCCGAATAGCGGATCGGGTGGGCTTCTAATCGGTGTGAAATTGTCATATCATTCGCGAATGGTTTTCCATGGCGAGAAATCAGGTGATATAATTGCCCGGACCGGGCAGAGTTGCAGACCAGTCGCGGTCCTGTGCTCGATCAGAAATGGGAATCGGTGGGTCATCGGCAGCCGGACTGCTGCTCTTGCTCATTTCTCTGGTAATATTGCGAGCAATCTAAGTGACGCTGTGAATCCATCGTGATTCAAAATTCTGTTCTGAAGAAAATGTTAAATTCAGTCAAGCCTCAGATTTAAGTCGTGGGTTGCGCGTTGCACTTCAAATTTTCCAGTGGACTAATTCTACTTTACATAATTCCAGCTGCATCTTAATTTATCGCAGAAACTGTGACACGTGTCTATATCCAGGTTGCACGTATAATTGCACTCTTGCAATGTATTATGATATAACTTGATATTTTTAATATTATTATATTATTTATATTACAATATTATAATATAATATAATATAATATAATATTATATTATATTTGTATTTAATATTATTATATTATTTATAATATAATATTATATTACATTATATTTGTACTGAATATTATTATATTTTTATACTATTACATTGTATACTATACAATATACTATATTATAGAGTACATTGTATACTATACAGTATACTGTATTATACAGTACGTAGTATACTATACTCTACAGTACATTGTATACTAAACTATTATATTTTGACATTAAACTATAAATTTTAACGTTATTTATATTATGGTATTATAATATAATATAATATGATATCATATTATATTTGTATTTAATATTATTATATTATTTATATCATAATATTATAATATAATATTATATTATATTATATTTGTATTTGATATTATTATATTATTTATATTATAATATTATAATATTATTTCTCTTGCGAGTTTCTAGAAATTTTAATTTCTCGCAAAAAGAAAAAAGAAATTCTCTTCTCGTTTCATAAAAGGCGACGATTTCGCGTGATTTGAAAAAAAAAAAAAAAAAAAAAAAAAAAAAGAAGCAATGATCGTTGTTCGACCGCGACCAGCCACGATCCATTTCCTCGATTCGCGGATCCTTTCAGATCGATATATCCTTCACAGGGCGCAGGATCGTCGGTGATAAATGGAAAGATCGCGAGAAGAGCAACCCCTTCGAGTACAGAGCAAGCCGAATTGTTGGACGCTGCGGAAATCAATCGTGAGATGTTGTCGATGGCGGAGAGTCAGAACGCGATTCCTAGAAGAAGCAACGCCGCCGCAGGGAAGTTGGATCAATGGAAGGTAACGATGGTGAACGACGACGATATGAAAGACCTGGAGAATTTGCACGTTCTGTCTGTCATTGGCTATGAACCGCGAAAAATTCGCAAGATCGCGGACACGTTGAACGCAGTTCAAGATTCTGGTAACTACATACATCCGACAGAGAAAAGAATCGACTTCTCGATTTCACGATAATTGTTTCTCAGACAGGGTGGCTTCCAGCCCACGTGAAAGCGCAGACCCAACTGCAGACGTCAATCGCGAGGTTCCACGGACTGTTCAACCCAGCGGACTCGCAACAACTCCGCAACGATCCTCGAGATCGAAGCAGAATACTCGGAAGATGTTAAGGGCGATTGACACGAAATTAAAATCGCCGATCGAGGCAAAGTTATTCAGGCCTCGTTCCCCGCTGAATCTTTCGTCAACTGCGCCGTCAACGCGAGTTGATTCAACCACAACGGCCTCGAACGACGATGCCTACTCGAGGAAGAGGAACCGTAAACGAGTAACGACGGGAAGAGACGAGGAATCAACTTTCAGTTCCACCGAAAATTATCCCAGGGGATTCCCCAAAGTTCGTGGCTCGGCGAACAAATCTGGACGGCTAAGAGGCAGCAACTTCGTCGAGAGCCGAAAGGGCAATTTAGAGAAGTTTGTCGACGAAAAGGTAGCTTCGGATGGGACTCGTAACGTCAGGGGTAGAAATGTTCGGGGAAATGCCGCGAGAACCGGAAACACTTTGGAACTCGCTGGGCTAAGTGAGAAACTGCACGAGAGGGAGAATCCTGCGAACATAAAAAACGCTCCTCTGTTTATTGATCTTCGAAAATCTGATGTTCAAAATCCTGTCATCGGCGATGAAACTTCCGAATCTGTTGGTGATGGCGTTTACAAGAGTTCTCAGACATCTGAAGAAAGTGGCTCTTTCAAGGAAGAAGTTGAAAGTTCGACCAACACCAATGATCTGGATAATTCTGTCAAGGAGATAGTAGCAACCTCATCGAGCTTCGAGTCTCGCCGAGACGACAAAGTTCCAACGGTGGCTGAACATTCGCCACGTTCGAACAGCTACGTGGATCGTTCGTCGGATCAGCCTGCCACTTCCACAGATTCGTGGACGAACGAGCCAGGATCAAACGAGCAAAGAAGCGCGAGGACGCGAAACGACGGTGTGGCGGAGGCGACGAGCGTCGAGAATGGCGAGGAGGATGGAAAGTACGAGAAGCACGAAGGTCGCCAGGTTGAAAGTCACGATCTACCAAGCCACGAGTACGTCCACGAGAACGAGCGTGCGCCCGAGGGCGTGATGGTGTTTAAAAAGGACGAGGACGGTCGACACGCGGCGAAGTATGACGTCAGAGTGGAGGATGATGTCGCGTCCGATGGCTCGCACGACACCGAGAGTCACCGGAGCGTGAAAGAGGGTGCAGCGGGTCGTGGGAAGTTCGAGAAGGGCGGGGCGACGGAACGCGAGCAAGAGCACCGCGAGAGCGACGGTGAGAAAGGGGAGAAGGTAAGACTGTTGATCTGAGCTCTAAATCGGAATTTTGTGTAATCGGTGACTGACTCTTCGTCATTTCTTTTTTTTTTTTTTCTTTTTCTCGTTCTCGAACGATAGAAATTGCTAGCATTTTTTAAATGGTTTCAACGCCATCGTTGACATTCGCAGGGCTACGAAAGCTGGCACGAGGAGGAGAAATCCGACAAGGGTCATCACGACAAGGAACAGCGGAGCAATTACTACGACGAGAAGGATGGCAAGGAGAAAGAGCAGAAGGAGGAGGGTGGATATCACGAGGAGCACCAGGAAGGCGAGAAAGGCGTAAAACAGGCGGATTTCGACGAGAAGGGGGAACATCAGAAAGGTTACAACACCAAGGGACAACACTTTGTCCACGAAAAGGTAAGTTCCGCGCTGGATTGGCCTGATCTGTCTCGATTAAGTTAGTAGAAACTAATAGTCTAGAAAGAGTACATTGTGCACAGTTTCATATCTTATGCTACTATATTATTTATCTGTTTCGACCGAATTAAAACTAGTTCCTTTTTTTTATTCACTCTAAAATAGTATAACAGTTTATACTGTTTTACACCGTTACATTGTATACTATACAATATACTATACTACATTACAACGTGTACTATACAGGACATTATATTTTATACTATTATTGTACTATTTTTATACTATTACATTGTACACTACATAATATACTATATTATAGAGTACATTGTATACTATTTTTTACTATTATTGTACTATTTTTATATTATTACATTGTATACTACACAATATACTATATTATAAAGTACATTGTATACTATTTTTTACTATTATTGTACTATTTTTATACTATTACATTGTATGCTATATTATAGAGTACATTGTATGTTATTATAGAGTAGAGTACATATTGTATACTATTATATTTTATACTATTATTGTACTATTTTTATACTATTACATCGTATACTACACAATATACTATACAGTATACTGTATTATACAGTACATAGTATACTATATTATACAGTACATTGTATACTAGACTATTATATTTCATACTATTGTTGTATTATTTTTATACTATTACATTGTATATTATACAGTATACTATATTGTACAGTACTTTGTATATTATACAGTATACTATATTATACAGTACATTGTATACTGTACAGCATACTATATTATATAGTACATTGTATACTAGACTATTATATTTCATTATTGTTGTATTATTTTTATACTATTACATTGTATACTATACAGTATACTATATTGTACAGTACTTTGTATACTATACAGTATACTATATTATACAGTACATTGTATACTGTACAATATACTATATTATACAGTACATTGTATATTAGATTATTATATTTTATATAATATATTATTGTATTATTTTGATACTATTACGTTGTATACTATAGAATATCCTATATTATACATTGTATACTATACAGTATACTATATTATACACTATACTATACATTGTATATTAGACTGTTATATTTTATACTATTATTGTACTATTTTTATACTACTACATTGTACACTATACGAGATACCATTATATTTATATAGTCTCATTTTGAGAATTAACGTCGCAGGACGAGTTCGAGAAACGGACCGAGTTCTTCGACGAGTTCCACGAGGACGGTGACGCGGAGAACGACGGGGAAATTTATCACGAGCGAAAGATGTCCAAGGGTGGCCACTACAAAGCGGGCCACCACGACGCGGACGATCACCGGCAAACGTTTGGCAAAAGGAGCGAATACGAGAAAAGTGATCACCACAGCGACGACAAAGGTCACGAGGTTAAAAACGGCGAGGACAGTCATCACGAGCAAGGAAATATGCACGGTGAGAAGAAGAGTCATCGAGGTGGAAAAGAGTGGACGCACAGGGACGGCGCGGACGAAACTGACAAAAAGAAACACTGAGATTCTACTTCTTCTTTCCTTTAGCAAATTTCTCTTTAAATTCTCAAGCCCGTTGTAACAGAGACATTCTGTTCGAAAACAATAGAGCGAGAAGCACAAAAGTGCCGCACGAGCCTCTGGCTCAATTTCATTCGCTCAACTTCGCGGGGATGAAATTCATTTGCCGGGTTGTTGCTGGTGTCCCTCGTCATTTATTCTACGCAGAAGAGACGCGCGACGTCTGTGAGAAACGGCCGACTGCGTGAAACTGAGTCGCAAGAAACTGTGGTGTCGCCCAAACGAGAGAGGAGAACGAACCTTGAAGCGAACGAACCTCGTTGTGGGGCACGGTTCTGCGAAATTGCCCGGGAAGGATGTTCTAGGTTTTGTATTCTTGGCAAGGGGATTTCCGTCGGCCAGGAAGTGTGGGAAATCGTGCGGAAAATGTCGTACTTGAGGTAGCAGGCCTTGTGAAAGAGAATCTGGAGGGTTGGATGTCGTGATGCACAGGGTGAGTCATTTGCACATTTGCAGTATTGACTCGTGTCGAACAGTTACTACCTTGAAGCATAGAGAATTGTTAAAAAAAGGTATATATATATATATTTACTATGAATTATTACAAAAGGTGTATATAATGTTATAAGTTATTACAATAATATATATATAATATTAATAAACTATAAACTAATAAAAAATTACAATTAATATAATATTAATAAATTATTACAATTATTAAGGTGTATATATTTATTATAAATTATAATTAATATAATGTTAATAAATTATTACAAAAGGTGTATATATTTATTATGAATTATTATAAAAGATATATATATATGTGTGTGTGTTTATTATAAATTATTACAAAAGTATAATTTATAATAAAAGTATATATTTATTATCTAGATACATGTAATTATTACAAAAAAGTATATATATATTTATAAAAATTGTCACAAAGAATGCATATATTTATCGAGAGACGAGAATCGCGTTTCAAAACCGCGAATTCGTTCGCGCGAGTGTCGAAGAAACGGACAGAGTGGTTCAGAACGTTCAAGTCGATAGTGTAAAAGTTGTAAAGTGCTACAAGTAGAAACACGGATGGATGATAGATCGCGACGAAACTTTAGAGAATGATCGAGGGACGTTCCCCCAGTGTCTTTTAGCGATCGATCAAAATTTCTTCTCCCCCCCCACCAAGTGCTTTTTACAAAATTTCTTCCAACGCCTCTCTTTCGACGCGTCATGTTATGCATCATCACCGTTTGAACAGAGAGCGTTTAGCTAACGCGCAATACAGTTTCGTAAGTGGCGTAACAATATTGATCGAGAGGAAAACGTTTGTGTCGGAGGATTGTACCGTCACCTTACAGTTTCTTCGTCGCCGCCCACGCTTCACGGTTCGACCGATCGACGACCGTTATTAGTCGTCGCGAGCGATCCCAGCTGGCGTGTGGCCGCGGATGCTAACGACAGGTGATTTATTCCACGACTGAACGTAGTAAAATAATAGATAAAAGATAAAAGAGAGACAGGGGCAGGCTGCGCTGGAGAATGATTCACGCCAATGCCAGATCCGTGGCTAATGGCGCCGTGGATGCTCGCTATCGTCGTTAGCCGGATTTTTCACGCGACACGTCCGCGGATGAGCCTCGTGCGAGAAGCGACACCGGTTCTCCCCTCTCTCCCTCCTCATTATAGCATCCAGCCATCACGTATCGCGACGTGGACACGATGTCCACGAACGCGTGCCCACGACACGATGACCCGTGAATGCGATAAAAGCGATACCGGTTATCGGCCAATCAATATCTCTCCTACATCAAGCGTGATACACTTGGACGTCGACGTCGACGTCGGCTTCCCCGTTCCCACGCGGCCGGCTAATAATCGCGGCCGAACGCGAAATTAACACGGCCGGGATGACGAGCGGGATTTCAGAATTTTGTTTGATTTGGCAAGATCGTGGAAGTTCGGACATCTGCGGAAACAATTCTTGGGGGGAGAAAAATTCGTTTCGTCAAGCCTGATCCTGTCTGATTTGGTTTTCGAAAATTGTAATCTTCTCTTTGAAACTTTTTGTTAATTTCTTTTTTTTTTCTTTTCCTTTCCTTGGAATTTTACTGAACTTTGAGCATCGAGCAATTTTTTGTTGCTCGACTCTTTAAAAATTCTATTTCTGTCAAGCCTGATCCATTTGATTTGGTTATCGAAAATTGTAGTCTTCTCTTTGAAATTTCTTGTTAATTTCTTTCTTCTTTTCCTTGGAATTTTACTGAACTTGGAATTTTACTGAGCAATTTTTGTTGCTCGACTCTTTAAAAATTCTATTTCTGTCAAGCCTGATCCGTCTGATTTGTTTTTTGAAAATTGTAATCTTCCCTTTGAAACTTCTTGTTACTTTATTTATTCCTTTTCTTTTCCTTTCCTTGGAATTTTAGTGAACTTTGTGCATTGAGCAATTTTTTGTTGTTTGACTCTTTAAAAATTCTATTTCTGTCAAGCTTGATCCACCTGATTTCGTTTTGAAAATTCTTAGTGTATAATTTTGTTCTTTTTTTTTCTTTTTCTTCCAATTTTACTGAACGTTGAGCATTGAAGTTAAATAACAAATTTCTATTGTTTATCTCTAATGTTCACGCATTTGGTTTACTCATGTTAAAAAGCATAGTTGAGAACGTAACATGAAACATTGTCGATACTGTTTAACCCCTTGACATATTGTAGAATGACGTCATCTAGGAAGATGTCATGCGTTTCCTGAGGGCTATCGAATTATTAATTTGTCCCTTCGTCGTCTTTTTATTAGTTTTGTTCACGAGCATCGTGTTTATGACATGAATGAATGAAAAATGAATTTTGTTAACTTCACGCTAAATTTACTAGCAAATGTTAAAGAGAAAAGTAAATATCACTTTTTGGTCATGTCGAATTTTCCTTAATTCTTATTTGCGCGAGGCTTCTACTTTGACGGTTTCGAGATTGTTTCTTCTAAAAATTTTTCTTTACATCGAGTGTAACTGGTGCTTACTAAAAGGTAGGAGTACTTTCACTCTCAAAAATCGCAAAGTAATAAAAATTCAAACACCGTAGAAGTAGAAACGTTAAAAAATTCTTTTCGTAACTCGATTCATCGTGGTTTCGAAAAATTCTCTCTTTAAAAAAAAAATCTTCTCTTTCTGTATAATTTCTTTTTTTTTTTTTTAAATTTTATCGAACTTTGAGCTATTATTGAGTGAAGTCAAATGACGAAATGTCGTGATTTTTTAGATTCCTTGAATTTTTGCTATTTAACTCTAATGTTCAAAGTTCGATAAAGCGATGAGCAAGTTTCTGAACTTTGATCTTCAAGACCGTGATGGATTTAGTCATAAATAAAATTTCTTTTAGTATTTATATTCTTATATATTCTTTAGTATATATATTCTTATATATTTAGTATATATTTATATATATTCTTATATATTCTTTATATATCTTCTATACATACGTGTAATTTTTTTTTTCTTTTTTAGGGAAAAGAACACTTTTTCATTTGCTCTGGGGGGGAACTTGAGGGTGAATCAGAAGCTTTACGTCTTTTTTATAAATTAGACTAACTAGATTGCTACATGATCTTTTTTAACGAAGTTGTAACAGTTCAAAGTATTGACAATTTTTCATTTTCATAAATTAATCGTGGCGCTGACTCCACGAAAACAACTTGTATTTGCCAAGGAAACGAGATGAGGAAATTTTTCTGCTGGAAAGCGAAAACATCCAGCAACAACGGTACACATTTTGCTTATTTCTTTTTTTCTTTTGTATCCTACATGCAAACGACAAACTCGATAAAATACTATTATTAACCCTTTGAGTTCAATTTGCTTTCAATGTTGTTGCACGTCCACTTGTATTTATTTTAAGATAAATTAACGTACAACGCTTCGAAATTCAATGTTTTCTACAAATATTCATTGTTATTCGTCATTGTTATTATACACAATGCAATTTACTTTTTACACTGTGATTTTGTAAATGTACTTTTTCAAAAAACTGCGATGATTTTTAAAGCAATTTCCACACAGTGGAATTTCATACGAAATTTTGTTCTGTCACTTCCAGCGTGACGTACATACGTAGTTCAAAGGGTTCGTGTTTGAAAACCATACGCGCAGTTTTTCTCATTACCGTAAATCTCGTCTCTTCGTTTATTTAATAACATCGGCCCCCTTAACTCCAGTCGTCGAAACACCCCCGAAAGTGAAAATTCGTGTCGCGGCTAATGTTTGTCCAATTGTCCCCGCGATAAGATTCACAATCAGACAAGTTGCTGTTTGATCGCGTTATCGCGCGAGAAATTACAACGGGGAGGTGTTTTAATCTCCTTCCCCTTCGAGACGGTGAAAGGTCGAAGCACACGATCGACAATTTCCCTCACGAATGTGAAAGAAAAGACCTTTGCTCGACGAATTCTCCGCGAATTTGATTTCTACTTTGCCTCTTCACCAGAAGATGAATACAGAGTGTCCATAAAGTCTCTTTACAATTTGAAAAATTTATTACAAAGGCAAATGAAAAGAAAGATAAGTGAACATTATTAAAAAATGAGACGTGTATATTTAAGTTTTTCTTTGCCTCGTTTAATACACCTCTATATGTGTACCATTAGTTGCACGGAGCACATCAAGACGGTACTCGATTTCTTGTCATGTTCGCGGCGGCGATCGATCGATCGATCGAATAAATTGAATAAATTGAACCGTTTCGCGTAGGAGTTCGGCGAATGGAATTGCTTACTCGCGGAAATTGTTTATTTTTCATCGAACGACAATACAGTTTGCTGGCACGCGCCTCGTGAATACTCGATTTGCTGCGGTCGCGCATCAACGTGCCGATCAACGTCAGATATTTTATTCGACGAATTAAACGCTCGTTGTGACGTTGTTTGGGGGACGGTAGGTTGTAACGTCTGCAGTGTTGCACGCCGGGGGGGAAACACAATTACGATACAAAGGATACATCGCGGCGTTGATGTTAATTAACGTTTTAACGCGTCGTGTAATTGCGATCGATCGCGTGCGCAATTTATCTTATTAATTTCGTGTATTAACCGATTAACGCGTTGAATTACGCTGGAAATTCTATTTCATTACACCTCACGACGAACCTCGAGTGATTATACCGGATTTTTTCTGGAATAATCTACAATAATGAAAACATCATTTTAGGTTACACCTAACCTAAAACCTAACCTAAACCTCAAATGATTATACGAAGCTTTTTCTGGAATAATGTACAACAATGAAATCATCATTTCAAGTTACACCTAACCTAAAACCTAACCTAAACCTCAAAAGATTATACGAGGCTTTTTCTGGAATAATGTACAACAATGAAATCATCATTTCAAGTTACACCTAACTTAAAACCTAACCTAAACTTCAAATGATTATACGAGGCTTTTTCTGGAATAATGTACAACAATGAAATCAGCATATCAGGTTACACTTAACTAAAAACCTAACCTAAACCTCAAGTGATTATACGGGGCTTTTCTGGAATAATGTACAACAATGAAATCAGCATATCAGGTTACACTTAACTAAAAACCTAATCTAAACCTCAAGTGATTATATGGGGTTTTTTCTGGAATAATCTATAATAATGAAATCATCATATCAGGTTACACTTAACTAAAAACCTAACCTAAACCTCAAGTGATTATACGGGGCTTTTTCTGGAATAATGTACAACAATGAAATCATCATTTCAGGTTACACCTAACCTAAAACCTAACCTAAACCTCAAGTGATTATACGGGGCTTTTTCTGGAATAATGTACAACAATGAAATCATCATTTCAGGTTACACCTAACCTAAAACCTAACCTAAACCTCAAGTGATTATACGGGGCTTTTTCTGGAATAATGTACAACAATGAAATCATCATTTCAGGTTACACCTAACCTAAAACCTAACCTAACCTCAAGTGATTATACGGGGCTTTTTCTGGAATAATGTACAACAATGAAATCATCATTTTAGGTTACGCCTAACCTAAAACCTAACCTAAACCTCAAGTGATTATACGGAGCTTTTTCTGGAATAATGTACAACAATGAAATCATCATTTCAGGTTACACCTAACTTAAACCTTAAATAATTATACGGGGCTTTTTCTGGAATAATGTACAACAATGAAATCATCATTTCAGGTTACACCTAACTTAAACCTTAAGTAATTATACGGGGCTTTTTCTGAAATAATATGTAACAATGAAATCGTCATATTAGCTTGGTAACTGTGTTCTTTCTTCTTCTAAAACAAGCTTGAACGATTAGGTATTAATGTTACGATAAATTTGCGGTTTAAAATGAAGTTTTAAGATACACACGTACGTATGTACATCTATTGAAAATATAATTTTTCGCCAGTCCAATATTATTTGGTTATCTCGTGACGAATTAAGAGACGATTAAAATGGAAATTATACAGGGTGTCCCAAATTAAGAAACATTTCACGAATAGCTTCGACGCAATAATAAGAGACAAAAAGTTCCTACGAACAGACATCATTTTATTCTCGAGTTACAGCTTGCGAGTATTTCTGTCGCAGTACGTATCTCTTTCTTTCTTCTTTTGCTCAATTTTTCAACCATTTTTACAAACAGAACTCGATATTCTTCGTATAACATTGTAGCCTAAAAAAGAAATTCTGATTTATGTGAATTACGTGCTAACAGCGACTTAATGATTTTTGATTAGGTTCCACTAACGTTTGATTTGTCATAGTTGTAGCATCAGTGTGAGTCTAAGCAATCAAATAATAAAAATAACTCGAAATTATAAATTATTCGAGTAATATTACTCGAAACATAAACATTACATCCAGAATGTTAAATGATTAAGTCGCTGTTAGAACACGCGCTTTCGCAGTGTTAAATGACCACGAAACTTTCTTGCCATTTTTCAAGAGAATTATTAGGCTGCGACTTATGGTTCCTTTTACCTTCGTGACGAGTAGAATACAACGCAACGAACAAAACATTTTTTCTTTCCACTCTGTACATGCACATTTGTGTACTTCTCGCGCACTGCATTTGCGTGCGCCCATCGTACATAAAAGTCCGCAGATAAAATCAAATTCGATCGTAAATCGTACGATTCCACGAACTTTTCTCATTCGTTTAGACGTGCCGAGGTAGACCGCTGTTTATTCCAGAAGACACACCCTTTACACCCTCTCATAAAGAGAGAGAAAGACAGAGAAAGAGTTGCAAACATGATCAACTTGCAAACCTGATCGCGTTCTGTAAATAGAAGGCGACCGATGCCAACTTTGAAATGGCAAGCCGTGCAACGACCGCTCGCCTCTTGCATGAAAATCTCGCGGCGCGTTAATGCATTGCAACAAGCGCGCTGCGGAGAACTTTTTCCATAAGCTACCGCTTCGAACCTAACCTAACTTAATCCGATACCAACCACGGACAAATTTTAAAGCGAGACGGAGAGAGATTTGTTGCGTCTCCATTTTGTGACATTGCGTTCTGCGACTTCTTTCTTTCTAATTCTCGTTCACTTTGCGCTTTTCGGGGACCTATGTATTTTCGGTGCATTTTATACAGGGTGGTCACTGAAAGACTGAACATTTACAGAAAGATGTTTTTTTTTAATTTTTTTATTCTATTTGGAAATATAATTAATGGAAAATATAAATGTAATATAATATAATATAACATAAATATAATATAATGTAATATAATATAACATAACATAATATAATATAATATAGTATAATATAGTATAATATAATATAATATAATATAATATAATATAATATAACATAATATAACATAATATAACATAATATAACATAATATAACATAATATAAATGACGATTCAACAGTGAAAAACTCGAGACAGCGACGAAGAAAGAAAGCGGAGAGAAAAAAAGGGACGCTCGTTTCGCCCGTTTCACCCACCTGGTCGACGAAATTCGAAACGTTGAACGCCTTGTTGATCTCCGACATGAGGTTCTGCTCCTGCGTCTTCTCCACCTGCGCCATCTCAACCTTCAGCTTCTTGATGCCGGGTATGTCCTTGGTTCTCTTCAGTTCCGCGATCAGGTCGGTCTTTTGAACGAAGAACGACTCTGAAACTGAAACAGAAAGAGGACAATGGACGATGATGCGCTCGAGAGAAGAGAGAAGAACGAGAGAGGACAATCTATCTACCGTTGGTCATGGACACGCTGCGCGGCGGAGGCGCGGAGAACGTCTTGGTCGCGTTCATCTTGGCGGTGGTGCGTCGTAGCTGGATGCTGGTGAGATCTTGGATGCTGATGGTGGCGAGTGGCTGCGAGGCGACTCTGGGGGAGTCGGGATCGGCGGTGGGCTCGTCGTTGCTCCGCGGCAAACGGGATCTCCGCAGCGGGGACAGCGGCGGTGGCGGTGGACCCGCGCTCGATTCCTTCCCTTCCTCGATCACCACCACCACCCTCCCTTCCGCCTCCTCCTCCCCCTCCCCCTCCCCCTCACCGCCACCACCGCCACGTCTCGCCGTAACTTCCGACGCAAGTTCCTCGGCCCCTTCCGACCTTGACGACGAGCCCTCTATTCTTCCTCTGCTCTGTATGTCCAGATTGTCCACCGATCTGTCGCCGCCGCCGCCAACAACAACAACAACAATAACAATAACAACAACAACAACAACAGTCAATTGTTCCTTCGTGTCTCTGTGGTCGTCTGTCGACTGCAGAGAGAGAGAGAGAGAGAGAGAGTAGTAGTACCCAATAATGTACCTTACCGTAATAACCAACTTGACCCGATACTTGACCGCCCCACTACCGTTACTGACCTGGTTTTCAGCAAGCTGCTCTTGGACGAAATCTTGCAGATGCTCTTGAGGTACTCGGACGGCTTGAGCAGGGTGTTGGAGTCCGCGTTGGCGAACTTGGGCGGTATGAACGGCAGCACCATGTGTTTGTTGACCAGATGGGACGTTTGGCTCGTCTTAATTTCCTCGGTGTCTGCCGGTGGACTGGCTGGCGGCACTTCCGGCTGCTGGTGCTCGCCGCAGGATGCGTCGGACTTGTTGACCGCTGTTCCGAAACAGAGAGACAGAGGTAGGGGGAAGAGAATCACTCGCGTGGTGGTGTGGTACTTGCAAATAGTCGGGGGCAAGTGAAATCTAGGTAAGTGTATTATATGCCCGATGAGCGCCATGGTCTAGTAAGTGGCCGTCTCTTTGCCTCCGATTCACCGAGGCTTTAATTATTATCATCATTATCGTCGAGGCTGGTTCGCCAGCCGGTTTAAAATCGGTCGATCGTTCGACTCGATTAAATATCTCCCGCCCTTTTCTCTTTTATTTCTACTTCCCCCCTGAAGATTTTCTCTTTTTCCTTCTTTCTTTCTTTCTTTCTTTCTTTCTTTCTTTCTTTCTGTGTTTAGTTATTTTTCTACCTTCCTTCCTTTCATCCCCCCCTTCTTTTTCTTCTACTCCCTCTCTCCTTCCCCCCCCCCCCCCCTTCCCCGATTTTCTCTTTTTCTTTCTATATTTATTTCTTTTCGATTCATCCGCTTTTCTCTTTTGCCCCCCTTTCTTTTCTTATCCCTCTCCTTTTATTTCTACTCCATCTCTTCTTTCCCCTCAATTTTCTCTCTCTCTCTCTCTCTCTTTCTTTCTTTCTGTATTTATTTATTTCTCCCCCCTTTATCTTTCTCCTCAATTCTTATCACCCTTCATCTATTTTTTTTTTCATTTGCGCTTCTTCCCTCTCTTCTCTTTCAGCGATGGTGAATCGAACGAGATCAAATAAGACAAGGAAGAAACGAAACGACGATTCGAGAGAGAGAAAGAGAGAGAGAGAGAGAGCTTAGCATCTGGCAGCTTACCTGTAGAAGACAGAGGAAGGTTCTCGCTTCTTCCATTCCGGTTCGCTTCACCGAAGACATCTCTCTTCTCGTCCCTGGCGGTTGGTTCCGTGTTTTGCTTGGCGTTCACCACGAGCACCACGACGTCCTCTTTGTCCGGTAGTGGGGGCGGCGGTGGTGGCGGCGGCGGTGGCCTGGCCAAGCTGGCAGAAAGGCGCGCGATGGAGGGAAAGAAGAAAAAGAAGAAGAAGAAGAACAAAAATAGGAATAGAAGAGGAATAGAAGAAGAATAAAAACAAGAACGTGGAGAAAAATCAGACGCGAATTAGACAAGAACTAGAGCAAGAATAAGAACCAGAACTGGAAGTGGAACAAGGAGAAAAAAGAAACCACAAGCTCAATTTTGCTCATGATGGAACGGAGCAACGAATTCACAACGCATTCCGTACGAGATAAACGCGATCGATCCGCCTCTGTTTTTGACTTTTTTTTGACTTGAACGCGTCCGGCGTTATCGCTCGGCCTACTTACATGGCACCACCGTTCGCCGATCTCGTCTCCTTTTCGCTTTCTACTTGCGACGACAAGTTGCTCGGATGCTTCTTTTCTGAAAATAGAAAACCGATAATAGAAGACGATCGATCGGTCAGATTGGCGTGTTAGGAGAGAGTGGATGATGCAGTTTTGGTCGACTGGGAACGCACCGTGCGATGACGATTCGACGACGGGCAGCTTCCCGTTCTTTCGTTCTCGTTCGTTGCTGCTGTTTCGCGACAGCGACGGCGTCGACGCGCTCGACGAGAAACAAGGGACTTCGCTGCTGACGTTCGACGACTCGCTCGCGCTGCTCGATCTGCTGTATCTGCGATCGGTTTTCCGGGGACGGCTGAAATCGATTCGACAGATTGATGTGTCAGTCGCTGGCCGGTGCTCGGCGCTTGGAGCTCGTGTCTGATCGACGATACATGTGTATACAGGCTGAGTCTCGTAACGTGACGACATCAAATAACTCATAAAATATTTGTTGTATGAAAAAATATTTCACATAGAAGTTGCATGGCTTCCAGAGGGACATATAGTACTGTAATCAGTTTTATATTATTTTGCTTTTTTGTCAGGGTATGAAGGTATGAATTTTTTAAATGAAATAGTTAATATTTCTTCCCAAATTCGGATAAAGCGTTGAATTCTACATAAAAAAAGTATTACACCAAATAGGGTCTGAAATACATATATACTGAGATATTAGCAAAAATATTTTTTTATATTGTATTAGAAAAGACCGTTAATCTCAGTAACTATGTATTTTAGATCCTATTTGGTGTAATACTTTTTTATGTAAAATTGAACGCTTTATCCGAATTCGGGAAGAAATATTAACTATTCCATTTAAAAAATTGAAGGTAACCTTCACATTCTTGATAAAAAAGCAAAATAACATAAAACTAATTACAGTACTATATGCTCCCCTGGAAGGATGGCCATGCAACTTCTATCTGAAACATTTTTTCGTACAACAAATATTTTATAAGTTATGTTGCGAGACTCACGCTGTATATACAAAATGTCTCATTTTAATCTATGAATACAATTATTACAATTATACTTCAAAAAAATAATAATATTCTTCTATCTCTTACGTCTGTCTAGAGACAAAGTAAGTATACCAAATTACTGCCCTCTCAAGACAGAAAAAAAATCCATTAGATAGACATTTTTTTAAGTGACAAATAGTTTTAAGGATAGTTGCATTTGAAGATTGGAATACATATGTAAATAGAATTAAATACTGTGTACACAAATACATATGTAAAGGGTGGAGAGAAAAATTTGTCCGCAGCTATCACAGATAAATTCTACGCCTTCGATTTGATGGAAATACATGACGCAAAATTGACTTTGAGTTTCAAGGCCAAAAAATTATTTTTTCTTTTTTGGTTGCATTGTATTCTACTCACCATATAGGTGAAATTTTTCCAAGGAAAAATAGTTCTCCAGAAAAATGGCAAGAAAGATTCTTAATTTAACACTGCGGACGCATGCGTTCTAACAGCGACTTTATAGTTCTGAACTCGTGGATGTAATGTTTATATTTCGAATAACGTTAACAATTGGTTTTATTATTTAATTATTTAGACTCACACTGCACACTAACAGTTCTCTTCTTTTCTTTTCAAGTTTCTTAATTTAATACTGCAGACGCGTGCGTTCTAACAGCGACTTTAT